TTTAAACGCATTCGTACTGCCGTCGCAATTCTGACTTAATGATTTTGCACATAGAATTCTTAATGTGCACTATTGTGTTTATACCTAATTCAATGTCTGATGACGCCATGTGTGGTTTATGGCGAAGGGTATCATGGTATTGATGTAAGTTTCAAGATGGCGAATGTCTTAAGGCTGATTTACACGGTACGATTTGTCGCGCGCGACTTGTAGTATACGATTTTCCTACAAYAAGTCGTAGGATTTTAAGCAGTGGTTCAAAATCTTACTACAAGTCGTAGGTTTCGTACGACTGTTGTAGACAAGTCGTAGGCGCGATTCAAGTCGTATACTACAAATCGCACGAGACAATCGTGCCGTGTAAATCAGCCTTTACAAAAACTAGCTACGAAGGAAAAAAACTTAATAAATAGCTMCGAAAAAAAAATGAATAAAAGTTGTCTCTACGTCGAGAACACTTTTGAAGAACTTTCACAGATGTGCACACTAAGTGATGGGCAAGACCTGTCTGGGAAAAGACGTCTGCTTGTTGTTAAAATAGTCTAAAAAAAGGAACAGAAACGCGATCGAAAAATAACATGGCTCATTTCGTTCTTTCGTCAATACCATGCACGGTGCGCATGTTYCTACGTCATTGGGGTTAAGTCTTTTGCAGTCAAAGATGGTCAAAATATTTGCTTGTGAACATAGATTAAAGGTCACTCCTTCCTTGATAATCCATCGACTAATTTCAATAATCAACGATAATTGTAATAGCTTTCCTCGCCTAAAATCTATTCCATGTGCGAGTAAGGAATATAATTTGACGGGAAGCTGGCGCTGTGTCTCAAATTGAGCCTCAATAAGCCAAACAACATCATAGGACGATCAAAACATTGATAATTGAAGTTTTACGTGTGATGGTTTTTTAATCGATAAAACAGATTTCGTGAGTATTTCCTTGATAATTCAAATCGTAATACACTATTCATATAATGATGGTCGAAATTATTTATCATCATATTAAAAATATTTTGAAATTGGAATTTTCTGCAGGCATATTCCAATCTTAATTTTCTTAATTAACTATTACTGGAATAATGGTTGGAATTATTAATTACTGTCTGTTSGCGTAATTAACAATCTGAAAATTGAAGCACGAAAATRGGGGTTGGAAAAAAACGACAAAAATAAAAAATCAACAGAGAAGTAAATGGACGACATGCTGGGAGGCTCATGCAATTATAAGAAATATCTGTTGAAAAGTTCAAAGCAAACAACAACAGCAACAAAAACATCTAATAATATGAAACTAAATGTGGCTAAAATAAGCATGATGTCTAAGCAATCAATATATTCATGGATGAAACATAGTRCAATTTTTATTATGATGTCTAAAGCCACACTCAGATAAACGACGTCAATTTCCTGGTAAAACTATACTTACCCCTGAACCCCCTGCAAATCCACTTTTGTAAACCGAAATTACGCCTGAGAAGGCTCCAGAGAAACTTTTATTTTATTAAAAGAATAATACAACATTATTTTTAAAGAAAAGCTAAAAATGAAAGGTTAATGCGTTTCACTCTTGCCCACTTCCTGTGATGGGCCGGTTAGACAAAAAGACAAAAAGTGTATATTGCACGGTTTTTGTGGATGTAAAGATTGTAGTGAGTGCCAAAGATGCATAACACAGGGKTTTTTTTTAGTTTATTTAGTGTCTGTGTAGATATGATCTGTTTTTTGACTCGAAATATCTACAAGGAAAGTCTATTTTCTCGCATTTTCTTCCACTTCATCCCTGACTAACGTATCGTTTGTTGTTTATTCGGGATAAAAAAACGTATATTTAACAATTAAAATGTCTCACTTTTAAGCCTTCAATTACTGCAAGAGCTATTGAGCTGCGCTACGTGTGCAATTATTCCTCACAAAGTAAACAAATTTAGCGGATTTAGCTTATAATTCGAACATGACATTTGGCTTTCCTTATACTATTGTAATAGCCTCATTCATWTCTTATTTTCTTTGTCAGTCGTCGTCGGTGATGGCAACGTTTATTGATACCACATTGTCGGCACATCAAAACCAAAAAATCAATTTACCGTTTATATATTAAGCATCGCTTGCCAAAGTAATCGTTTAGAATTGACTGCTTGAGTTGCAGACATTGAGAACGCTTGGGGCATGACATATGTTGTTTTCTCGATATTTTCAATTGTTACCCTAAGAGTTTTTCTAATGCATTAATGAATGCTATATTGCTCTACGCCTGTTTGAATCTTCCACAGTTGATTCTATCATAYGATAAATAGTTAATTTTATGTTTTTATTTTCAACTGATTGAAAACGCTCGTATCCGCTGGATGGAAATGAAAACAACCAAACTCCATTCTTGGTTTCGATATGATCACCCTCACTGTCAACGCCGGTCAGCACACAACATCGATTTTTTTTCGTTTGACAAGGGTACGATCAGGGAGAGCCTCCTTAAGTACTTCTACTCATTACAATTACACCCAGTACTAAAACATTTACAACCTTTGGGGTTTAGTAATTCTCGATTTAGAAAATTCTTATTTTTTTTTCAAACTCAATAATCATTAAATTGATCTCTCAGCATTTTCACAAAAATACAACAATAATGAGTAAATAAGCAACTAGACATCTTAATCAATATAGAATTTCCCATTGGCGGTTTTCTGTTCAAAAGCGCTCTCTTGATGATCGTGTCAAGAATACACAAAAATTTGGTCATTAGGAAAATATTCAACTTAATCAATACAACTTTCCGTGTGCGGTAAAATCCTTATTTACACAATATTTTCATTACCTTAATGTGTACCTAGTTATCAAAAATATAGCAACGTACAATTTTATTTCAAACTAGTTAGCACTAATGTGAAATATGTTAGCATCTTTTTTTCCAGTTTTGTTATTGTGATTGCTTTACTTTGTAAATATTTTTTGAACTGTCGATAAAGAATTTTTTTAATAAATTTTTGTTGTTTATTTCAATCATGTGGAGGCAGTATTACAAACTTCTAAAAAAAGAATTCTTGTTTGATAAAGAGTACTCTCCATTAGTTAAATATGTGGTATACCTTTTCCACCTATCGTAATTTTAATAATTTATAATTAGTGCTGTATGACATAATGCAGGTATGGGAGTTATATGCATGTATAAATATATGTATAGTGATGGGTATAGAAAGCCGGAACACTCACCATTGAGTCCTAATGGTTTGAAACATTAACTAAACAGTGTTTTTTAGGTTTATTGAGTTTTTATGTTTTTTATTCATATGAATTTGCATGAAGAAATTGTGACCGCTGACAAATATGATATTTATCAATATATGGGTCGCTGATATATCAAAGTCAATTCATTTGCTATTAATTTCCAAAATGTATTTTTGTATGACTACAAGAAAAGGATAATTTCAAAAAGTTCGATAATTTGCGATTATATTGAATGAGAAAATAGCTAAAATCATGTGATTACCCATAATGCACCAGATACTAATGATCTCTGTTGGCGGCCAGAAATGTCTGTATAAGCGACACATGTATATATTTACATACTAATGTCATGACAGGGAAAGAAAAGATCYGATCAAATATAACGGTACAAATTTGAAGATCTGACCTCCTAGTTTGACTGACATTACTGTCTGTAGGTCACAAAAATTGAGCTTTCACATTTAAGCAAAAACTAAAAAAAAAAAATACATAAAAATACATCAATAGACAAAAAGCGCCCACTTTGATGTTAATCTTATTTTTTTAAAAAGGTATCCAATTCGCATGCCTCTAAAATGTTTTAGCGTTTCTGTGGCGACAACGTTATTGTATAAAATATCTTGTCACCGTATAATGTAATACTTAATTTCAATTTTAAAGTTAACGTAGTTAGTCGTAGTTAACTTATTTCATTTTCAATTTATATATGACATTCACTGGTTACGTGGCAACTCTAAAATCCTTCATGCGAGTTGAGTCACATGCCCGCCATCTTGATTTTGAAATAATAAACAAAGCTAAAGCAAATAAGTTWCTTTCAGTCCTGTCTCAGCATACACTTTCTTTGGAACTAAAATTAAAGTCTATTCGGAAATTATGTTTACACAGCTTCATCTATTAAAATTTGATATTTGTGTTTCTAAACTAAAATTTGCTTTGTATCAGCTTTCTTTTAAAAACACAATCCAGTAAGTTGAAGAATCGCACTGGCTCGTTTAAACCCATAGAAAATTAAAGCTGAGTCCGAAAGGGCACATGGGAAGCATGTTGCGCGAATGAATATAAAATATGATTGTTATTATACATATATCTTTATACAAAYGCATTTGAAATTCATCATGTAATCCTTCTATTTTCTGTGAATTTATATCTCCCAACCGTTGTTTATTTAATGTGTATTTATACTGACAAAAATAGATCGAAAAGTAAATAGAAATAATCATGATACAAGCAAATGAGTGCACAACGATTTAATATGTATGAAAAACGCTGAAATTGAATAAATACATGAAAAGATTTATCACATATAAGAAAAATAATAAAACACACATTTGCGAATTCATTTTATTAAGCTATATTTTCCTTGGAAATAACGTTATGCATGAATAATTTCTTTTAAAGGTGTTGCTTCAGGCTTTTACCACCTGAAGTTCTAAATTATTCAATGGCAATTAATTCCTCGTTTACAATCCTCGGCATTTTAATGTCCATTTGTAAACAACTTTATATCTGAGCTGTGCGGTTATTATTTAGAATGAACTGGTATAAAAGAAGCCATTGTCGGCGACATTGTGTAAACTAATCAAGGCTTTGGCGCTTTGCACTYACTAAGGAAATGATCCTAGCAAGACTAACATCTTTACCATACGTGACGGTCGGCTCTGATTATTTTGTTTTTAGTGCCTTATCTTATTTAGATGTTTCATAATTTTGTTGATATCTTATGTTTCTAATCCCCTCTCCTCCCTAGCAATTAACTGAGCCATGAAAACACTGTTTCTTTTTTACCAAGCAATGCCAATAAGGGAGTTTATTCCCTTCAAGGCACAAAAATCCAATTGATATAGAGTTGTTTGTGTTTTTCATTCAAACCATGTTGTGTTATCACTAAGGAAACTGTCAAGGTTACTACTTAGTGGACGAGACTGATTTAGYATTCTATTTCCGTCATATCGGGGGAGTGCTTTTTGTTTGTATTCTCTTTTTTTGTTGTCATTTGGTTCGTGTGTACTACGGCCACAAGTGTTAAAAAAGTATATTGTCGTAWTTTGTTGGGCTTTAATTCTAGAGATCTAAATATAGTCTTAGAAATCAGATACAAATCTGTTTTGCTAAGTTCCTTAGCAATTAGAGACAGGTTTTCGTGCCAAAGTAGTGTATAAGACCCCATTACTTGATATGTGATTCAAAGGTATATGAAAAGAATTTTTACTGGACTTGATAACGCACGATTTCTACCGGAAATAGACCGCTGAAAAACACCATTTGGCTTCACCAAAAGGGACCAAAACTCTTTGAGATTTCGACTGAGATGAAATGTTTGCTTAGGAAGTTGGACTTTATCATTCACATAGGTTTACTTAATTCATTTGTGCTCAAAAAAACATTAATTCTCTTGACACAGACACTGGTGACGTCATTTATCCACGTGATTAGGTATCATTCTAGATATAGCAGGTGCCTTCTATACTTTAAATATAATGTTCTTTTTAATGTGGAGTCCGTATGTTGCGCTTACGCAGAAATCCGTTTACGAAACAGATTATATAAGAAGATACCGTCAAGTTTTTAAGGGAAACAAAGATTCAATTTTGACTGGCTTAGAAGAATACTAATCGTCTTACATCAACTCTATACACTAGCTGGTCTGAAATAAAGAGCTTAACAGAAAAGCTCCTTGGTCAGTGAGATCGCTTTAACACCAACAGAGAAAGATCAACAGTTCAACTTACTTGTTGGCTTAAACAACGGTTTTATAAAGTCATTATTTGGAGAGAAAACATTGCAAATACATATTTTATGTGTGCAGCGCCTTGGTCGAGCAGGTGTACATTCAATCATCATCCACTGCTCATTGAACCTAAATAGCCTGCGAGCGAGCCATTCATACCTCGCTACTTAGATAACTCACTCACCACAAGTAGAAAACAAATCGACAAACGCTGCCTGTGAGTCAGGCGTCGAGGCAGTGGTAAGGGAAGTTGCTTGAGGTTTCTATATCATCCGACGCCAAAATGACTACTGAAAATTTGGGGATTTCCATTGTCTTGACAGTTATTGGAGCAATTATAACAATTGAGAATTTACTTGTCTGCTTCGTCGTGTTTCGCTACAGAAACCTAAGGACATTCACAAATGGCTTCATAGTGTCTCTGGCATTTTCGGATGCACTATTTGGTGGCGTATTATTACCGCTCTCACTCGTAGATAAAAACGGAATGGCTGCGGAATATCTCAAGTCGATAATTCTCCAAGCAAACACTTTCAATCTACTCGCCGTTACGTTTGACCGATACCTAGCCGTGTTAGTTCCATTAAGGTATCTGGAAATCATGGACAAACATTTTCTTAAACTGCCGCTTGCWGCGTGGATAACTCCAGTACTAATCTCGCTGATTCCGTTGAGTTGGAAAAACAATTTGGATACTTTGGCTCACAGGGTCTTTCTAATTTGCATTTTGGTTTTGGGAATTGTCATTCCTTACGTTTTGATTTTATGTGCSTACGTGCGTATATTCAGAGAGGTCGCGCGACTTGTCAAGAGTCTCGCCTCTTCTGCGATGCAGAATTACCCGGTGGATGGTCGAGTGATGGAGGAACGAGGACGCGTTCATAGTGAGGCTAGAGTGACACGTATATTCGCGGTGATCGCCGCCATTTTTGTCATTAGTTGGATGCCGGTGATCTACATGACAACAGTRTTCGCAGTAGAACGTCCTGACTTAATTCCCGAAGAACTGCCTACAGTTTCATGGTTTACACTCGTGATTGGCTCATTTCTTAATGCCCCTATCTACGCTTTATTYAAATCAGACTTCAGAAAGACACTAGTACGAATGCTATGCCGTAAAAAGCGGTCAAGATCGACATGGAGACCGGAGGATTGCAGTCAGTTTAGTAAAAGCGCACGATGGGTATAAAYCACAYGYATTAGATAAAAACTAGATAACGCATGAGCCAATATTTCAAAAACTCATTTAAGAAGAAAGTATATTGAAAAGGCTAATAACAATCAAGTCGTAAAAACGGTATTTTGAAAACGCAAATCGTTTGGTCTTGCTGACAGACATATGCTTTACCAATCAAGCTATTATTCCATTTGAGAAGAAAAAAAGGGCCATTAGTAACTGCCCCTAAAGCGATGTGTAACTTAAGGTGCACTAATTATACCGCGTCCCATCACAAACTCATCTCAAGATTGCTCATTATCGAGGATTTTAACATGCTTTGGTCACACGGGAACAGAATATTAACGCAATCAGACATATATACTTCAAGGTCTGGCATCACTAGTAAAATATAATTGATGCTGGGACTTCACAGAGTAATTGGCTTTGTGATATCAGCTTTTGTAAAGACCAGAACGGCAAATATCATTGGCACTGGTATAGTAACATAAACAATATTTTGCTCAACCTTGATTAATTGGGATTAATTCTGTTGAGTTTTTTTGTTTCAAAGATGCCATTGGTGGTATTTAAGTTTGTTTACTTGACGCAGAAAAATGACAGATCTCTAGTAAAGTTAGTGATATATTAGGGCTCTTAATCTCCTTATTATAGCAACGAAAAGTCGGCCAAGGTGCTTTTGTTGTAAATGGTGTAATTAGGTGATAACCACGAACCGCACGGTGCATGGGAATAACCATCAGATATAAAGTCGCTTAACATTCAGTTGAAGTTTTCTTGCGGTTTTATTAAAAAAATCGATGCACGATAGTTTAACGTAAATTCTTTTTCTGTGAATAACCAAAATACTGAAGCGGACTTGTTTTCGATATAAATCGATTATATCTTGTAAAGTATTGATATTGACCTTTTGAGGAAAATCAAAGGGAAAATGAAATAAAAGGGAGGGAGAAACGAGAATGCTCTTGTGTTATTCCGCAATGATCGTCTTGCAGAGCAAACGCAATTTTTCCATTTATTTTCTTTTATAACTTTGAAAACCTTAACTCAATTAGTAATTTCAACGCCCTTTTTAAGCAAAAAAGTGTCAAAAGTGGGTGATATTGACTTGACTAATATAGGACATAAAAAAATGAAAAGAGGAAAATCCTATTGTATTCAAGCACAAGGCAGACCGACAAAATTCGATTTTTTTCGAAGCAGATGGATCACTTACAGTAAATAAACTAGAAATAACGCCCATKTAGAACTAAAACAAATAATGAAATGAAGAAAGAGCCAGAGGGAAAAGTGAAAAGTGAAAAAATAATGACTGTCTACGCTGACATTCAGCACTCACAAYTTGAAGTAGAAGAATACTTCTGTGTGCTAATAGCTTAATGGAAGGGAGAGAGATTTGTGCTTGAAACATTAACGAATTTAAATTGTGTAATATAAAGACGACAGACCTAGCGAAAGCATTATCAATAAGAGAACTAATTAAATTGTGGTTTCAAAATACTAGAGAATAAGCTCTTTTGAGGTTAGACGACTAAAAGAAAAGCCCATTAGCTTGCAAACTACGTTTAACTACATCGGTGAATAAAGCCYAAAYAGTTTTATAACGAAKAAAAAAGAATAGGAGTCAATCTTGTTTAGTTCTAATGAAAACTTTGGAAATGACAGATTTTATTTAGGGTACTAATAATTCTTGATTAACAACATTGTTTCTGCTCAAGGTTGCTTTCATTTTTGTTAATGTTGGATCGACTGATGGAAATCGCGTCAATCTTCTCACATCAAAATACTAATCATTTTAATGTAAATTCCTTCTTGTTGAATAAAAAGATAGAACTTAATAAACCGCCCAAGACACAACAGAGTCCCCCAAAAATATCTCCAAATGTTAGCCTAGTTCCACTAAATTGACAGCTCTTGAAAATCCTCTCAAATTCGGCGCAAGGCAGACATTGTACGTCGTTTCTTTCATCTGATGAAAATTTATCTTCACCGAGTTTCCGTGTTCAACAGGATCGAGCTTTTAACAGTTTCAAGCCGCTATAAAAGGCAATCATACCGTAAAATGCCAATCTTAATTTCATTAAGCTTTAGAGATTACGCTATCGCTGACGTACTGCCATTTAAGAGATTTAGGTCGGCTTTTGTGTGAAACTGTTTTTGGTTTCAAGTCAATTCGCGTTGAAACTGATATTTCGTAGGAAGTGTGGTTAAGTCATGTTATTCCCTATAAGATTTTTAATRAATCAGGTTTCACCATTTTTCGTTGTTTGCTTGAGAGCACGTACTGGTAAATATTTGCGCATTTTATTGAGGGGATTATCATTGTATCATGCCTTGATCCCTCCTTTTTAGAATGATCAACAATAGATTATTCTAGTGAACTTTTATCTATTTATGTTTCTCCCTTTTTCGTTTAYTTTTCCCATTCATTCTCTGATTTTTCGTATGTTTTTAAGTGCGTGTGTCTTTGCTTAAGAATTTCTGGATCCATGATGCATTTCCTTTCCAAGACTCCATTATCCTTATAGCATGGTGATATTTATATGATATATGATTTTTTTCTATACACTAGTTATTAATAATCATAACAGCTTGATTTTCCAAGCTGGTTTTTTTTTCATATATTCAACAGTGGTGCAGATGGCTTTCATTTTTTCTCTCTTTCTCMCTTGGYCACCGAGTATCCGGTTGTCTACATACAAGCATAACGAATTTTTATTAATTTATTTTTCATTGCCTCCCTCGTCGCCTGAAATCCTTCCCTTTATGTACAGTATAATTACAAATTGAAGATAACCTATCAGTGACTTCGCCTTAACAGCTATTACTATGTCACATTGTCACTTAGTTGAATACAAGGTGTGTATGACTGGTCTGATAGACGACTTAAAGATAAAAAGAATGAGCATCAGCATAAAGGCCTTAGTTAGTTCACAAAKCYTCGATAAAAACAATCGTCAGATCTTAGCGCAGCCTTGTGAAAGAAATCRTTTAGCTGATTGAGCGGATGCTCGAGTAATCCCTCCGGCTAATTGATCTTTTGCTGAATCAARCGAAGATAAACAGGCTATATTTCTGTTTAGATTTTGCTTGGTGATTAAAAATCATTCAATATTTATCACTGAGTATACATTTTTCAGTTTAATTTCACTAGCAAATATTTTTTTTTTCTTATTGATATTATTCTATATTATTAGTCGTTTTTTATTATCATATTTTATTTTTTGAACGTCTTATGTTTACATCTATTTATCTTTGAACTGTATTATAAAACCATTACATTTTRTTTACATGCATGCATAAATAATCATATTTTTTCCATAACATCCTACGTTTACACAACTTTTTTTTGCTTTTGTATTTCTTGAAATGAAACCATATATTCATATAAGTATTGCTTATGGCAATTTCAAAGCTTCTTCACAGTTTATTTCATTTATTTATTTATTTTA